CACTAGAGGTTCTCGTGCTATTTGAAAGGCAAGATACAGCTTGACTTTCAGTTGCAGAGAGTTTTGTAATAGAGTATATTCATACACTTCCAAGTCCAGACAATTTTGCGACTATGGATACATATACGTCCTTTAGACTGCAGTCCTTTGCAACATCCAATGGATGATTGTGGATAACAATGGTTTAACTCCAAAGTTCAAGTCTTTGACATACAGGTTATATTTACATCTTTTGACACTAACTAATGATTTTTCAACTACCTGGAAATAAATTTTCTTAATAAATAATTGTGAAATGTTTTCAAACCCAACATCTTGGATCAAAAAACCTATAACAGTAGAAATACTTGCTTCTATAGGCAGTATATATTAGGGAAAGGAATCCTTTGGGCTTCCAGATGTTGCTGCACAACAGCTCCCATACATTGGTCATCCAGGCCAATGGTGAGGGACATCAGATATTGTAGTTCAGCTATCTGTGAACAATCATATGTTCCTTACTGCTGATAAAATGGCAGTGAATAAATTAAACTCAAATGCCTACCTCAACTTAAAGTGTTTAATGCTGAGCATTTGCAAGAAAATCGGAATACGGCAATCCTTAATAGATAATGCCTAGGATGGTTCACATTTACATTCAGATTATTTAGGGGGGAAAATTCTGTTGTTTTATGGAGAGGGAGGTAGTCAGTGGTCTCTGAGTGAAGCACAAATCCTTGGGTTTCTTTCCATAGTTCCTTTGAATCTGTTCTGGGGAGTGGGCATTGTGTGCTCATAATCCCACAAATGATCTCAAGACTCTTAGAGATTCATATCAATTATATTTACTTACAATGCTCAAAGGGTTAATGCAAGGCATTACCATCAAAAGAATGTTCTAATACTAGAACTAAGCACTGAATTCATGCTTCTATTCCAGTTTTTTTAGTCACTAAACAAATAACCTAGCAACAATATTAGAATTCCTTTTCCTTTAAACCATATATAGAGACTGACCTGTAATGCAGGAATGAGGGCCCAGTTTTCAGAAACTGGTACTGCTTTCACAAATCAGCATTAAGTGTTCTCAAAGTGTTACATAGTGTTATTTGGCCTGTCAAATCTCTGAAATGATTTAATATTTTGCTGAGAAATAATTTGAAAAAAGTGTTTCTAAGGTTTGTGAATACCTCGTTTTTAAATTAAAGAATTATATGTAGACCTGCATATCCTCAGTACTGTTTCAATTACTACCATCCATTGTGAACCAAATGTGATGACATTGCACAGCAGTACTGTAGAATATTTTTAATGGATAAATGATTTCTAAAGTAGTGTTATAATTACATGTTATAATACAAAAAAAAATAAGCACAAAGAAAAAAATGCAGGACAGGACAAAAACAGATTACGGTGGCAGCACCAAAGATTTTGCATTCCTGAAGAGATTATGAAAACTGGGCCCTATTTCTGAATACGAATTTTCAATAGAATCATCAGTATTGATCACTGCATTACTTGTTCAAGAGCCAAAAAGCCTTAATTAAAAAAATAGTATTTAAAACAACTTTTTAAGACAAATTGTTCTCAAATGTTATTAGTTCATTTTCTTGCAATGTTCCCCAAAGTGCTTCAATTAAGCTATTTCTCAATATTTTTTGATGAGTACATACTTCTTGATTATTAAGATCATACCGGATTCATGGCATAATGTGAGACCATTTATGGAACCTTCAGTGAAAAATATGTGGCATGGCATATAAAGTACAAAGAAGCTGCAACTACTGTAGAAGAGAAATTTGGGGGAGCCCTCGTATTTGCACAGAATACTAGGGCATTTGCATGGGATTATCTGAATCCCAGCCTTCATACATTTCATTGTGAAAAATGTATATAACATATAGGCACAAGTAGTACACTGTCAGAATGCTACCTAAAGTGACCCAGTTTACTGATTATACTGAAGAGCTTCTGAAGATAATGCAAGTCAGATGGCCATTTGATTTATAATGCCTACTAGACAAAAATATTAAAAAAATATTATGGGACAAAGACACAGATAAACAATGATTATTCTGATTCATGATTAACAGAAGCTCTTCTAATGTCTTGTTATCTGTGTTGCTGACTTATTAGAGCATTTGGAATATATTCTGGACACTGACAGGTTGTGGAGTTTCATTATTTGTATGGTCCACAGCAGACCAGAATTCCAGGTTATGATGTTAGATACAATAAATATCAATCTTTTTGGCACATTGAATACAGTGATCAACTGGAAGGGGAGTGGTCTGGAAAATGAATTATAAAAATTTACAGCCCTGTCTCTCTCAGAAAAGTAAATTTGCATCATTTTCATTTTTCTGCATGAACAAAATCCAGTATTGAGGACAAAAGAAGACAGTGATACAGAAACACAAGTTTGTCATCCAGGAAGGATAATACCAGTAAATAAATCATATTTAACATAGAACTTTAATAGACTCTCAAAAAAAGATGCTGAAAAGTGTTTCTTTGTTTCTACATTTAATTTTACTGTATTTAAGTGTAAACATTTCATAATGCACAATGAGAGGGAGGAACTATCACAGCTTAGTTTTTAAAAAATTGGTGAGGGGTGTAGGTGTGATGGATTTTGATGGGAAAAAATAAGAACATATTCCAATAGGAGAAAGAACGGAATTATAATGAAATGTATCAGCATGTTTAACCAAATGGCAGGAATTACTAGGCACAATACCTAGTTCGGCCCAATTTTGCAATTCTAAGCAATTTTTAAAGCTTAGTTTTGAAGTAGAAATAGTCAAATAAAAAAAAATAGTAAATCTTTAGGTATTCTTGATATATGAAAAATCAAGGATACAACTGTATACTAAAAATATACCAAAAATTCTACCTGCTGTTCAAGCATTTGGTGATAATCTTGAAAAAGTCTTTCAAACAAACAGTAAACAAGACACTAATATTTTATATAGGTCTTGCTATAAAACCTGTAAATCTTCTTTGTGCTTTCCTTCATTTTTGGTTTGTTTTGATCAAACTAAGGAAATTCACATGTCTTTTAAACCAATAAAATGTGTAATGCATTCTAACTAGAACAGCTTAATGAGAATAAAAGGAAAAACAACACATATTATGAATGAACCATTAAATAAAATAGCAGATTGACCCCCATCACCATATGCACTATTGAAACTATACGCTGCTTTTTTAAAAACGTTGCTTACGTTACTTTTTGAAATTAAAAGTAGATAAGGGTTTAGAAATATATATATGTATATATATTTATATATAAGTATATAAATTCTTGTCTGGGAATTAGCTAATCTATTCTGTTGACCTTTGACACTGTTAAAGCTAGTTTGTTTTCCACCGTTTTCCCCCGATCCCACCCCACCCCAGAAAATCTGATTAGTAATAAAGTGAAGTTCAGCTATAAATAAGAAAAAGGCTGTCACTCTAAGAGGGATAGTATATCTAATTTTCTTTCAAAAAAAATTCTTGATATCTGAAGTATGTAACCTGCCCTTACTGTTTAGGGAATCTGAAGGAAAGAGGGGAAGAAAGTACGTAAGAAAGAAAGAAGACAGGCACACTTTGTTGAATCAATGTAAGAGTTATTAACAAGAAAATCTTAGCTTCAGTTCTGTTTAAGGCACCATGTAATAGCCGAGGTACAATGATCCCTGATGTACATTCTTAAATGGCAATGGTCCATCTAGCCACCTATTCAAATTCTACGCAATTGGGAAATAAGTACAAGTGACATGTGCCAGTTTCACTGCCTTTAAAACATTTTATATAAAATGAAATCCACTTAAGAACCAGGAATTATTCTGAGCAAAATTACAATGCAGGTTGCTACATTCCTTGCATCCTATAAACTATCTTTAACAAGAGCAGCAGGTTGAACTATCATGAGGAAAAGGACATAGAATTAAAAAGTCATCTGAAAGGAATGGTTTCCTGCATGTCCAGTTCAGCATAAGTAGCACATACACTTAAAGAAGGAATCAAGATGCTTTTTTTAAAAAAAAACTTCAGTATCCAGTGTCCCCACTGAAGAGCAGAAAGCATCTAGGTAGTGGTCCCATATGTATATGAGGTGCAGAACCCAGCAAATGCTTCTGTAACATGACCTCCACTCGCTCAAAGATGATCGCGTTCTCACTGGAAATCAAAGATGCCTTAATTCGAATCTTGTAAAACTCTAATTAAAACGAATGGAGGTTGCACAGAGTCAGTTTTTGGGCAGAATGTACCTGAAATCAGTAGTCTTATGAGAGAGGAGCTAGTATCCCAAAATTTGAAACTGATTTAAGGAAGCTTCAATTGTCCATAATGGTGTCATCTGTACCTTTAAGTACACATTACCATGTGCTATCAGAGCTCTCATTTATCCTGCAAACAGTGAGAATCACTCTTCCTCTGAGAAAGAAGACAATCTATGTTCTCTAGAATTATAATAAATCTTCCAATATATCTGTTGAGCACTCTGAAATGTATCAAAATAGTTTATCTTCCAGTTCTCTCCAATGAAAGCTGCCTTTTAATAATAATTCTAATGCAGCTGCTATCAAACGAGCATGCCTCCAGTGTAAATCAGAGAGGAAAATTCTTGATATTTCAGAGTGCAATTAATTAAAAACCCTATTTATACGAAATCACCATGACTAACAGTTAACAATAAAATATTTTGTAAAAACTATGAAAAAATTAAATTACTTTTAATTATAAAGAGGACAAAAACATTAACATTAATCTTCGCAAAAATGCTTCTTGACTTTTGAAACTAAGAAAACTTTTTATATTAAGCGGCCAGTGTAAAATGATTGTATTTACCTTCCCCCCCACCCAAATCTGACCAAATACATAGACCCATTCCATTTCACAATTCCAGCAAAAGTACAGATAAAATTTGACAATAGTCGACTTTCAGAAATTATTATTTTTTTTTGCATCCCTTCCGTCCCCTATGATATGCCCAACATCAAGAGGGCTAATACAATCTGAAAAAAGAACTTTAAATATGTGTTAGACCGCAGTATATGTATTTCCAGTCGCACTACACTGTCTGATCGTTTGAGTAGCTGTGACAATGTGCTCATTGTGAAGAGGGTTCAAAAGGTTCTGCTGTACTCCAGTCTCGAGTACCGGCTGCAGGCAGCCCACCTGAAAGGCCTGGCTAATTTCAGTCTTCTCCCGCTTGGCTTGTGGCTCTCCAGAGTCATCCAGCTCTTCATCTATTTCACTTTCAACTTCACTGCCTTCATCTGCACAAATAAAATCACCATGAATCCTGTAATCTGAAAGAGTCATGTTACAGATAGAAAGGCTTAACAATCCTAGCAATGTATCAAATTACTGGAATTGGATAGTCTCTGTGTCCAAATCCAATACAATAGGTAAATTACGTATGTGCACTTGGCTGGCCTCCAACTTTCTCCTTATTAATTAGTCAGCCCTTGTATTTGTAGATGAATGCTTATTTGCTGGCAGCATCTAAAGCTCCCATCTTGATTTCTATTATTGGGGGCTGCAAGTAGGGGAAACAATCTCCCCTTCTGTGACCGGAAATCACGTCTTGTGTGGAAATGAATGCTTATGAGCCCAAACTCTTTACCATGTTTTGTAACTATTTTTCAGTGGAGACTGTTATCTTGTTTCCATAAGGGATCACTAGGACTTGAACCAGTGCACAAGTTCAATATTGTATTGGTGGTCCTTATTTAACAACCATTCAGTAAGTGTCTCAACATACCATGGCACTGAACGAGTGGTAATTACAACTGGACCTTGTACTTATGGCCGACACAGCATCCCCACAGTCACAAGATTGCGATTTCCAACCTTCCGTACTGGCTCCCCATAAGCAAAGTTAATGGGAAAGCTGGCAGGGAGAAAGAAGTCATGCTCATGTGAAGTCCTTGCTCAACGACAGCAATCAGGACCACCATCACTAAGTAGTACGAATACATGTCCCGAGGGTGCTTTTTCAATAGGCAACTGGATTTTGTTTTTCCTTGAAGCTTCTTCAATTCAGTTCTTCAGAAATGAAGAAGCTTCTTGAATGAGAAGTGAAACGTCTTCAAGGAAAAACAAAGTCTGCTTTGCCTTTTGAAAAAAACACCTTTGGGACAACCATGACCTGGATGACTGAGAATCTCCATAGACTGTATGATCTCATGGTTTTTCTCGCTTCAAAGCACACTGCTAATGATGGAATTTCCTGTCCCAGTTAGTGTTGCTAAGTGATGAGTATCACTATCATACAAAATTCAGTTGAAATTTGTTCATGCTGGCAATAAATTAAATGGATACTATGTTTCATTGAGTGAAAGATCCTTTGTATGAGATGCTGTATCTCAGAATCCTACTGGCTGGATTCACGCATCATGCAAATCATAATGTGACTAGACTGTGGATTAGCATATTATATGCAACCCTTGTCAATTGCAATTTACTTAATAAAACATGGTTAAACTATAGCGATCACTATAGTTCACTAGATCTTTTAAAAAGATCTCCCAGCCTTCAAAGTAAGATTTCAGATAAAGTAGAAATGCAAAAGAGTGAATAAGTTAAGAAAAGTAGGAGTGGCATACAAATAAAGTAAAATAAATAAATTTATGATTTCCTATTCAAGTTGAAGATCTGTAGTATGTGTATGCTAACCTTTGTCCATGTTTCCAGGAGATGCAGCATTTAAATCACCAAACTGTGGAAGAAAATAAAAATAGCAAATTTTAATACAAAACATTATACTAGCATTTTCCACGTCAGTTAAATCCTCTGTGAAATCTAATCATAATCATGCTTCCCAATAAATAATATGACTATTTTTATTCACAAATGGAACATTTGCAACATTCTTCAGATTATGCAATTCCACCTCACCATGGCCAACTCACTGCAGGACAACTTGCCATGGGAAAAGAGTTACACTAATATCAAAGAAATGGTGGAATAGAATAATTAAAGTAAGGATACAAAAACAGGGACAAAATGAAATCTGAATGACAAAAAATACAATATTTTTATTTTAAATAATTAAATGGAATTGTTAAATTGCCCCGCGGAGAAGATGTCCTGTGGTGAGTTGGCCATGGCGAGTTGTCCCGTAATGAGTTGGCCATAGCGAGTTATCCCATTCCATTTCAGAGTGGTTCAGGGATTTCTGGAAGTGAATCCTTCAAATTAAAAGTGGTTTAGAGCAGTGGTTCTCAACTTTTTCTTCACCACAGAGTCCTTTAAATACCTTTTGTGGCCACGGACCATGGCCACGAACCATCAAGACTTAATTCAAGATTTAAATCCTAACATTTCTTCAAGTCTTTGAGGAACTTGTGACAACATCATGGCCCCCCAGGGGTCTGTGGACCATAGGTTGAGAATCACTGGTTTAGAGTGTTACATACCACAAAGCCTTCTATTCTAAAGTTAAATACATACCTTATTTTGGAAACTACATGTTTTGCTTAATACTTTGTGAATAAAAGTAAATAATGCTTGTTGCCTATTTTTGAATATATTTTCATAATATTCTTCATTTTCACCCAGAAAGCAAGACTAATGAAGTATATGAAGAAAGGATATTTGCACATTCTTAATGTCTGTGGAATATTAAACATAGTCAAATATGTTGATGCTTCATATATAAGATATCACCTTTCCCCAAGTCCTCTTGAAACAAGTTTGTGATGTAACAAAAATAAAAACCCTAATAATAATAATAATAATCTTCAGTTAAAAAAATGACCATTGGGTGACAGAAAAAAAATCTTACTAGGAATGAAAATATTACTTTTTGTTGTTTATTTCTATAGATACAAGAAAATAGTTTTCATTAATTTTTTTACTCTCTGAGTGTTAAACTGCTGGTTAAAAAAACAAGGGGAAAAGTTTGAATATTTGGCAATTCAAGAAGGTTATAATTTAAAAAGAAGGACTACAGATTTCAGAAATGAGCACAAGATTTCAGAAATTTACACAGGATCTAAAAGGCAACAGCAAAACACTTGATCCAGTATTTAGTATGAATAAATATAATCAGAATGTATGAATAAAAGAAAATGAATTTCTGTTTCCGGTTTTGACATCGCAGCAGAACAGATGCAGGAAGACGGGGCTCCGTCTTTCGCGTTTGATTTTGCCCGCTGGGGGACCCTGGAAAGGGTCGAAAATCGACCCGTAGAGGCGACAAGCAAGGAGGGGACTCTCGTTGGTTGTGGGGGGCAGCGGCAGCACTCCCATTTGATCTGAGGAAGCCCTCCAAACCGGCGGGGGAATGACTGGCTGCATCCGTGTAGCCAGTCCTAAGCTGCTGACAATGGAAGACAATAAGCACTAATAAGCAATATTAGAGCAACATGGATGAAACTGGATGAGACCTGACCCTCTCTTTATGATTTTAAGACCTCTTCCTGAAAAACTGCCCAAAGCACTCCCCCCGATGAGAAAGGGATAGGGAACTTCTGCCCATTCACTCAGGAAAAGAAAAATGGCGATTTAATTACTTGGGGAAAATGGAGAAAATTATGAGACTAAATTGGAACTAATACACACACACACACTCACACACACACACAAACATACATGCATACATACATACATACATACATACATACATATATATATATATATATATATATATATATATATATATATGGTGGCTTGGAAATTTGGGGACTAAAAGTGTTTTTAAGACCTTTATTTTTTTTAAAAAAAGAGACTTGAAAAATCTGCAATATGAGTTTTGGATTTAAGGGGGGAAAAAAACAAAACTGGAATGGCATTAATGACATCTAGTGGTGAATTTACCACACTACAACTTATTTTGCCTAAAAGAAACCTGGCTCGAAGCCCAGATTTAGATAAGACTCTGGCTGACCTTGGAAACTTTTACTTTTGAAGATTCCAGCTGAAAAGAAAAGGCTTGGGGGCTGTTTATCTATGTGGCAGAGGCGATAAACTATTTTTAAATTGGCCTGTCTGAACTACGAATACAAATACTGACTTTCAGAACTGTATTGTGGAACTATTTCCCTGTAGAAGAAGTATACACTATTGCTTGATATGATGGAACATTTTGGATTATAAATTTTGACTCATAAACAACTTTTAATGGTTCTTTCTTCTCCCTGGACAGAAAGGATATATCTCTCATTGGACAGAAAAACTTGAATTTTATTTATATCTGCTTAGGGGAGGTTTAAGAAAGGATTGATAAGTCAATCAGATAATCTGGAGCTTCACTAATAACTTCCTTAGTTTTCAAACAGACTTCTGTAAAGGCCATTTACAAAAAATAAAATTAATGTTTCATACTTAGCTCTAAATGGTAAAAAAACATCCTTAACGTCTGTCTCCAGAAACCTCAGTTTGACATACCACCAAGAAAATACTGATGAATCACAGAAATTCTCTCCATGTTGAAATTAATACAAGAAACAATTGCCTTAACTCATCATGAGATTAAAAATAATACAAAGGAGATAAAAGAACAATTTTCTAATTTAAATCTACAAACCAGAAAATAACCACAGAGAAGGAACTAGCAACTCAGAAAATAGAAGGAAAACTAGAGAAAACTGACCCAAAGATGGAGGACCCAAAGGAAAAAAACCAATGGCCAGACTCAGAGAAATGAAGAATTAGAAGACATAAAGACAACATTGGAAATGGAAAAGACATTTTATCAACCAAGATCTCAGAGCATACTGGAGGATAAGGAAGGAAAGCCAATGGAATGGAAGATAGAACTGTTATTAGAACTGTGGGGGATTGGAGAAGGAGGGAGGGTGTTTAATGTATCAATGGGCTAGCTCTTCCAAAAATACTTTTAACTGAACTGTTTCTTTTGCTTCAAATAATATGTACAAGAATAGAGGAAGAATTTTTGATGATCCAAATACACTGACTTGGAAAGTTAGTTGGCAAAGGAAGAAAGCTAGAGTAAGACTGAAGAAAACAGAAGCTTTGACCTATTAGAGGGGATATTATATTAAATTAGATGTTTGAATATGGTTAAGAATAGATTGCTAGAAATAGAAATATTATTATAACTAGATAGATAAGATTGTTAATCAGAACATCATATTTTGGCATGAAAAGGGAAATAAAAATGCTAAGAAGTCTGAATAAGGGAAGCTTTTGGTTACCCAAATATAACTTGTTTTGAAACTAAAAATGATTAGGATATTTTGAATATGGATGGGAAATTAAAATTGAAAAAAAGCAAAAATAGGATAGTGACTGACTAAATGGATATTGAGTGCAAATGCAATTAAGATATGTTTTGATTAGAAAAGATATTTTAAACTGATATCATTGATATTATTAGAAAACTGTAATAAATGCTGATATTCAACTGTATATCTATTAATAACAATAAGAATTGTATTTGCTTAATGTGAAAAAAAGTTTATTACCGGAAGAAGAGAGGAAGCATTGGATGGGTGTAATATTGGATTTAGTTTGAAGCAGCTTATATGTACCACGGAATTATTAATGGACCCATTCAACACGTTGTTTATTAAGCACTTGTTTGTAAAAATAGAAAATTAATAAAATCTTTATAAAAAAAATAAAAGAAAATGAATTTCTGTAGGAGCTTTGTATAAATTCAGCTTAACTGAAACTCGATGACATCCATTATATCTAAATCTTAGATGAAAGGAATTTAATTATACCTGATCCACACTTACCTCCTAGAAAACACATTTACTTAATTAAGTATAACTTAATGAGATAATTACTTCTTTTTGATGTTAAATTATCTGGTAAAAGATTCCAACTGCAGACTGACCTCTCCCATGACTGCAATAGGTGTCTCTCCTGTGGCTTGAGCAACCCGATGTTCAACTAAGTAAAACATATATTCATCATATAACAGACGGATCAGATGAAAAGAACCAAAGCTAGCAGCACTGCGCAGAGTTAAATCTCGAATCACCATTGAGCTATATTAAGATGAAAATACAAATGAAATACATTATCATCCAATAAATATGCCAGAAATTTCTGACACATCCAACACAATTCTAACAATTACATTATTTAAGCCAGGAGGGGACCATGTTTGTTTTTTAAGTAAAGTTAATTTTCTTGTCAGGAAAGGATGTTATACTACATGCTGAAGACTGGCCAAGCTAAAGCAAGTTGTAGGCAGGGTCATCCTCTTCTTTTCCAACTCCCTCTTTTCTCTGTATCAAGATTCAGATAACTCTTGCCAGAAGTATAAACTAATTTATCTAAATGGCTTTTAAATGTGACTAAGGTCTACATCAGGGGTAGTCAACCTTGGCTCTTTTATGACTTGTGGACTTCAATTCCCTAGCTGGCTCAGGAATTCTGGGAGTTGAAGTCCACGAGTCATAAAAGAGCCAAGGTTGACTACCCCTGGTCTACATGAATCTAGGTCAGGGGAAGGCAGCTATGGCACCTTTGCTACATGTGGACTTCAACTCCCAGAATTCGTGAGCCAACATGGCCCGCATAGTTGCCATAGTTGGCCACCCTTGTCCTAGGTGAAGGGCCCCATGTGACCTCTTGATTATCTATTTCTTATTTAGGCATTACATTTAGACAGCATTTTAATAATTATTATATAAATGGCTCCTCATATACAGCTGGATTTAACTAGCATTCTTATTATTGGTTGATGGATTGCATTTTTTTCTCTCCTTTCCCTTTAGAATACAAATTCCCTTTAAAATACAAATTTGACTAATAAGCAACATCAACTAAAAATGAAAACATAACAAATCATATTTGTAAACTCAAAATATGCTTAAATGTTTTATGTCGGTGGCAGTAGCCCCTGAAGTTAGGATATTAGAAACTGGCTGAAGCAGGCTTTTAGGGTGGTCTTCACCTACTTTCTTTCTTCTTACTTTGGGGGATAATAGAAATGGGTTACTTTAAGCAAAGAACAGGATGAAAATATAGGCAGACTAAGGCTTAATTAGAAAAGAAATGAGTGGAGGGAAGAATGCATAAATCCAAGCTCCACCGCTGCTTATTGACACGTCTTTCCCTCCTCACCCAATATCACCTTTACTAGCGATATGGTAAATTAACGAAGATGTGCAGCCTCATCTATGATCACTCATGGCTGAAAGCTATGATCCAGTTGGTATACTATCAAAAGTACACTGTATTTCTGCGATGCTTTAAAGCAGCTGTTTCTTTTCTTGGGACCACATAACTGTTGCATGATTCTGACAAAAGACATGTTTAAAGAAGTTGCAAACAGGTGCTACATGCTCAGTTCTATGCATTTCAAAGCACCTTTTGGCCTTTGAACTCAAAGCACTGCACTACCCTACCGGCCTGAGACAAAATATAACCTATTTACTCAGGGCACTGACCTGTAGAAAGACCACTTTAACAGAAATTGGCGTGCTGCTTTAGGAAAACTAGGTCTTCCTTCATATGGTTTCAGTGCTTGCATCATTACATTGTCAAGCCAGGCAGCCCACTGTTCCAGAGTGCTCTGCTGCTGAAGAGTCATCTTGAAATCTGTTTCTAACCGTTGTACCATGTTGTCATCACACTGGCACACCCAGGAAGCCTGCTCCTGTACCAATTCAAAAAAAGTTTAACAGAGGAGCTTCAAGTGCCCAATTTAAACTTAAGTTAAAGGTGCCTAGAAGGGAAAAGTATGAGTAAAACAAAAAAAGAGGGAAGAATAAGTACTCAGTGAACAAATCAAGGGATAGAGCACATCTGCATTTTCTTCAGGATAATAAAATAAGTCTCTGCATGTTATTGCTCTCCCCTTGTGCATTGTCTTTGTGCATGCTTGTGTTCATCTGTGTACTGGGAAACTCTGGACAGGTTGTAGCTCCTCTACTGGAGGTGTAATGTGAAAAGAGAAGGAAGGCTTAGAACAGAGTCGGGCAACTATGGCAACTTTATGACCTGTGGACTTGAAGCGGATTTGAAGTCCACAAGTTGTAAAGTTGCCATAGTTGCCCATCTCTGGCTTAGAACAAAGCAGTGAACAGCATTCCAACCTCAACTATCCATCCCATAGGGATGCAAGGATGGATTTTTTTCTGGAATCATTTTCTCAACAGATCCTAGCTCTTGATCTTCTTCATTTTCAGATTTGATGCTTTTCAGCGGCTTCTTTCCCTACACTAAATTTGATCTAAATTTGTTTAGTTTTCATAGAGTCATTCTGCTGGCAGACCCAATTCCAAGCTCCTTCACAGAATGTCTTCCCAACATTCTGTTGATTTGGAAAGGACTGAAAAAGGTTTCAAGAGTAGAACAGCCAAAGAAGAGGAGAAATGGAACTGTTGGGCATGTGAATGTTTTAGTAAATGGGTTGTATTTAAACAAAAAAATGACCATTTCAAATAGGCTGCTAAATATTCTTTTTCTAAAGCTTTGGCAGTTATAGGTAGATATAGGTCACAGATATATTAGCATAGCTGTTAAGAAATACCCTTTATTGTCTAGAGGTGAAAATCAGAATAGTTGGGGGGGGAGAGAATGGGCTACAGAAATGCTTCATGAATATTTTCTTGCAGAAAATATTAAGCAAAATATTATTGTGGCAGGTTTCCTCTAGACTGAATTTTTCCTGGCATCTTTGAAATTTAAATGCAGGGAGGGCTTTTTAAAATTTATATTAGATTTTTTTTCATTCCACTTTTATTATTGTTTGCAGATCTCAAGGCAGCAAACATATCAATCCTCCTTCCTCCCCCTATTTTCTCCACAACAACAACAACAACCACCCTGTGAGGGCTGAGAGCAATGACTGGCCCCAAATGACCTGTCTCGCTTTCATGCCTAAGGTAAGGCTAGAACTCTCGCTTTCTAGCCTGATGCCTTAATGACTGGACCAAAGAATTCCAAACAAAGCATCCACATCCTACCTGGACATTGGCAAAATCAACACGGTTGAGGTCATTGAGCATCTGGTTAATTTGAGAAGTGTTCTGCAAGACAGCTCGGGCTGCCTGAGCCAGATGATTAAGAGATGTGTATCTTCGCAGAGTCTGAGCAAAGGCACTTACAGCGGCAATCTGCGAAAAAGGAAGAAAAAGGCCCAATACTCCTATTCTCTTATTAAGGCTGATGCTGGTTAGCAAATTTTTACAAATAAATCATTTTACTGAGAAATAAATCGTTTATCGAGAAATACACTTTATACCGAAATATACCAATATTGTCTTATGAAGAAATCTTATGAGACTATGACTTTCGGAGAGGATATGTGCACAAAATAATAACGTTAATAATAGAAGTTAAATAAAAACAATATCCATGTCAATACCTTCCCTGCACTGAATGCCTGGTTACCCTCCGCACCCAAGCACACAAAAGAAGCACCATGTTAGAATATTTGGGTACACATTTGTGCCAGTTTGCTGTGAGGTACAAAGACTCTAAAGAATATGGCCCTTATGCCATCTAGAATTCTTCAATAAATATTTGTTAGAGAAGCAAATCTCTCCTCAAAGACTACTACAGCTACAGCAACAGCAAAAGCTTTTACCAGTTAGATCACCACTTGAGCAAGTAATTTAAAATACTTTTTTTTTCTACTTAGTCTTTGGCAGATTAGAGTAAAACAGTATATTACAAGAGCAACTATAGTTAAACTTTGATTTTAGGGTCTTCCATTCACATGTAAGAGACGAAATCTCAGTTTGAATTTCTCCCTCAAATAATGGAAACATTTCTTGTTAGACAAATCTATCTGAACAACTTATGGCAAATTATACAAACTATGGATAAATTAGATAGATTTTGGGAAAATGAACAGTTTTAAAAATCCCTTTTCTCAAAGCAGTCTGTTAACTGGAGGTGTCACTGTATTTTTAACGTTTATTATGCTAGTTCACAAACATATTACATATATCACATTACAGTTATTGGAAAAATTATATTATTACATTATTTCTTTCACATGGACCATATGGGGCGGGGTGGGGGCTCATATGCACCACAGACTGGGAACCAGTGATTTAAACATCAGTAGATGAACTTTCGGCAGCGAATTTTAAAGAATAGTATAACTACCAATATAAAACCAAAGCAGATTCTATGTGGGGTTTTTTTTAAAAAAAAAACCACATGTAAGTAGTGTAGTGAGGCAATGATGAATTATTAATGTTTGTAATATCTTTTTTGTTGCAAATGATTTTGAAAGCAAGAGTAACTCTTTAGTTTACCTTGGTTTGAATCATTCTCTGGGGAATATTGTTCATGGCATTGGAAAGCCAACCTTCAAGGCTTTTTGCAAAATTGCGAATGGCTTGGGTCAAGGCACCTATGCATGAAAGTAAGCACAATAAATTAAAAAAAAAAGTCAAGGCATGATTGTATTGACAGATCAATGTCCTTGAATATTACAACTAAACCGTAAAGGGAGAGAGTTTATGCTAATGCATGTTACTAATCAACATAGAAAAGAAATACCACATAATTATAAGTAGCACTATTCTAGTACAACATACCTAAAGAACAGCAAATCTTGTAGGCTGCAGTGACTGTTCTCACTGAGATGCTAATCATGTGTCTATGCTGTGTAACTTTGGACTATAATCAGAAATTCTTAGTATAAAAGAATATTCTGTCATATTGGACCCATTACTAACATGAAAATATAGGGTCATTTTTGCAGTAAAATGTAGATCCCAGATCAGGATCCGTGATTTATTGATTATTCAATATACAAAGGAACACAAAAACGATAATCTTACTCTAGGCTATATATTATTACAGGAAGGCATTTGATCCTACTATGAAGTTAAAATAATAAATTGTTCACTCTTAACCATCTCTGTGGTAGGAAGAGAATGCTAATATTTGGATGTGTTCTATGTACTACTCAATAGAAATGTATTTTATTCTGTACTGAATACTATCATGCATCATAATTTGATCAAATGCAAAAAAAATTGTTTGGTAAACATTATGCAGTGTCTTAAAATGTAGTATTTGGTCTTAAAATGCAAGCATGAAAAGTAATGCTAAGCAATCACTGAACATTTAACTATTCTTTGAAAAGAGACTTTCATCCTGTAACCCATTTCAAGAAGTTGTTTTAGGTACATTGTAACTTTTTATGACTAATATAATCTTTCAGTATTTTTCTTTAAACAGCAAATCTTTACCCTATCCCTCATCTATCTGAAAGCATCATGTATTTATACATTTATGGGGATCCTGAAATTTCCAGAACTGTATGATATATAATGTTTTTAAAAAAAACATTAGCTTCTTTGTTCCCCAAATCAGAGTCAATTGATGTTTGTCTATTTAATAGCCACAACATACCAGCTGTAAAGAGGAAAAATGGAAAAACGAAACAAAACAGGAATGGAGTATTCTGTGGGAAGACATGGAAGACTAATCAGAATTGCAACAGATACAGGTTGCTTTGGTCCTTTCCAGTATACAGAAACGAATTATATGATTCATGTACTCAAATGAATTTACATAGTCAAAAGAGTATCAGACATACAAACACAAACAAACTTATAACCATGTTTGGGAGAAGACAAATCCTCCAAAACTAGAAAACATGCATTTAAAAATCCCAGAACTGGGGCGGGGGGGCATCTGGGCGGTGATGGGTGGGGCAAGCTCTCCAGCTGCACAGTGGCAGAGAAATGTGACGGAGGTGGAAAGCGGGCGCTTTCCAGCTCTAGAGCTCCATCTGCTGCTTAGATAGCCATGTGGGCAGAGCTGCAAAGAAGGCTTGGAAGGGCAGTGAAAGGGAAGAGGGTGGGTAGGTGAGGGGGGATCTGTCACACGCTGCCCCACTTGTTTTGCGCCTGCTTTCGGCTGAGCCACGTTGTGCCCACCAAAGCTGCTGCCAAGATGCTTGGCAGAAACCCCCCTGCCCCAGATCGGACCCACGCAGCACCTTCTTTCCAGCTCCGATGCTGTGTGCAGTCCCACAAACTTCTTTCGTTTGTTGGACTGCATACGGCGGCAGAGGAAGTGATGGAGGACTGGATCGGAGCTGAAAAGAAGGTACCATGTGGGTCTGATCGGGGGCAAGAAGGGAGGGTTCTTCCAAGCATCTTGTACGGAGCCAGGGAAATGGGCTGGATGGGGGGAGCTGCCAATGCCACTGCCATGAAGCTTGGCAGATCTCCCCTGAGTGGCCATGATACCCCCTCCCCAGCCAGCCAGCCACCATTGCCCGACCTACTCCTTACCTGGCCGGCCAGCTGGCACAAAGCCTCACCGTTCTTCTCCTCCTCATCCTCCCCACTCAAACGGTTGCCAGTGGCTTGGGTGCCTCTGCTCCATCCAGGCTGAAGTAAGTGGAGATGCAGCAGAGGAATTGCTCTCAAACAATAAGAGCCAAGTATGCTGCTCGCTTGTGTGCGCCCGCCTTATTGAGAACAATCCCACTGCTGCACCTCTGCTTTCTTCAACTCGGATAGAGCCGAGGAGCCACTGGTGGCTTCTTGAATGGGGAAGATGAGCTTTGCTGCTGCTGCTGGGCCACGCCTAGGCTATGCCCTGTCGCTGCCTCCCAAACTCCACCTTCACTACTCGGGGAAGCAGCGGCGGGGCGCTCCGTGTGGGGGGGAAAGCAGCAGCAGCAGCAGTGGAACGCTCCATCGGGGGAAGCAGTGGCAGCAGGGTGCTCCGTGGGGGGGGGGAAGCAGCAGCGGTGGTGGAGCACTCTTTCTGGGGGTGATGGGGGAAGCAGTGGCGGCGGGGCATTCTGTGTGGGGGGGGAAGCAGCAGGATTTTGTGGCTTCCGGTGTTTTCTTTTCTGTGGGAAATGGGTCCAAATGGCTCTTTGAGTGTTTAAGGTTGCTGACCCCTGGCCCAGGCCGTCCTCTTCTATTGTAGCTGAGATGCCAATCTCCCTTTCCTTGCTGCAGAGAGCTGGAGAACTCCCAAGTACAAGAGAAATCTGGCCATGTAAAATGGCTCCTACATGCAAATGAACTGGCTACTTTCAAGACTCTGTTACAGAAAGTGTGAAAGCCACATTTCCTATACGCACCATAGAAATTACCTCTGTAATGTCATTGTTATATTGTCTTGGTGCTTTTCTCAGAAAGGTTTATAATGACACAAAGTAAAAATAAAAGCTATAATATAAATTAAGAAGAGTAAATATTTAATATTGTTTATACTAACAATGGCCATAGTTATTGCCCACAGAAACCATTCTTTAAAATGGCATAAATATTTGAGAAGCCAAAAGCCTATTAATTTCCATAGATGTATCTGATATTTGATTTTAAATTGTAATAAATTGCAACACTAATGTTATATATTTTCCTTTAAGCCAAACTAGCTAAATTGATGGTGAGATTAGACTAGAGATTAGAGATTATAAGAATAAACCACTTACCCTGGAATATTACATTAGAATGAAGTAACAGCTGTACCACAATACCTTTAGTAGGATTAACTAACAAGTTACAAAACAGCTGCTCATTATTTAAGGGTACCAAAAATAATAAAATGTTTTATATAAATGCAGTACGGAAAATGTTCCAACTTTAAAATTAAATAGCACAGTGGTAGAAAGATAAAAAGGTAACAAGGTCAGGACCCAAAAATACCTTCAGATTTATATAGCATATTTAGATGAATAGAGTAGAATACTTTGTTTAGCCAAGTGTGATTAGAAACACAAGGAATTTGTCTCCGATGCAAAAACTCAGTGTACATGCAAAGCAACAGAGTAATAATACTAATACCAATAAGAGGGTAGAAATGAAGATAAGAAGATAAGCTAGACTGTCAGACAGAGATAATACAGGTAGCCCTCGACTTTCGACCACAATTGAGCCCCAAATTTATGTTGTTAAGTGAAACATTTGTTCAGTGAGTTTTGCCCCATTTTATGACTTTTCTTGCCACATTTGTTAAATGGATCACTGTAGTGGCTAAGTTAGTAAGATGATTGTTAAATGAATTTGGCTTCCCCATTTAGGTGGCTTGTCAGAAGGTCTCAAAGGGTGATCATGTGACTCTGGGACACTGCAACCATCATAAATATGAGTCAGTTGCCAAGTGTCTGAAGTTTGATCATGTGACCGTGGTTGTAAGTGGGAAAAATGGTCATAAGTCACTTTTTTCAGTGCTGTTGTAACTTTGAACAGTCACTAAATGAACCATTGTAAGTCGAGGACTACTTGTAATCCACTCAAGAGTAGGGAATGGAAGTTCTTGTTAGTTGTGGATAGCTCATTTTAGACAAACTTCAGTAGGCAGAACAAAGCCAACAGGGTAGAATTTTTTGATGGTGATGGTGAAGCTCCTTCCTTCCTTCCTTCCTTCCTTCCTTCCTTCCTTCCTTCCTTCCTTCCTTCCTTCCTTCCTTCCCTCCCTCCCTCCCTCCTCCCCTCTCTTGTTCAGATGCTGAATAATAATATAAGCCATACAAAAAGAAGCAAGATGGAACAACTGTTTGTTCGGAAATCTTCAGGTCCTAGACTTTAGCTCTGGGGTGGGATTGCATTGACCCTGAAAAAACAGTCTACAATCCGAGGACTCTTTTAGTCTTGCAGGTCCTGCTAGTAGTGCAGATGGAAAATGTGGCCAAGATGGTGTTTGTCCAGCTGAATCTGAGGGCCAGCTGTGGCCCTTTCTGCATCAGGAGGTACTGGCAACAATAACTCATGTCCTTGTCACCTTGTACTTGGATTGCCTTGAAAGGCAATTTGGTAGCTTCAATTGATCCAGCATGCCACTGTCTGGCCAGTACAGTAGAACAATGCCATTTTTACAATAGCTTACACCGGTTTCCAATATCCTTCCAGATCTAGTTCAAGGTCCTGGTTATATCCTATGTAGCCCTTTATATTCTGGTCCTTATTAGCTCTGAGACTGTTTGACTCAGATACTAACTTTATGTTCACTTTTCTTAAGTCAAGATTCTCTTGCTATGAGAAATCAAGAGAGAGAATGCCAGTTGTAACTTCCCCTCTGTGGAACAGCTTGCCCTTTCCTTCCTGCCTCTGCTTGTCCTTCAGGACAATGAGCACAATTTAGTAGAAGCAGCTAAATTATGAGAGACAAAGTCTGACACCACGTATGAGTTTTAATATTTCCTGGTCACTGAATATTGTATATTTTTGCTCATGATCATAAGAGGTAGCAACATGCAAATTAATGTCATACATAAAAATAAAATAACAGGTAACTATGGAGTGCAACATTATGAAATGATGAGTGATTTACTATAGCACTGATATTAGCTAGATATAGCATTTGCAATCGTAATTTCATTAGCAATAAATGAGAGAACAAAATGAAAACACGCTTCTTCACATTAGCAAATAT